GTTGGGAGACACAGTTTTACTCCTGATTAATGGCCACAACTCTTTGCTCTAGAAACGATAGCCCCAGTTAAATTTCAGAAGTGCACACTTCTTGTCAGAGAAGGAGGAGAGTTGCTTGCATCCATGACAAAATGTGATACTCAGCTAATTGGTGTGGTTTTGATGATACCACAGTTCTGCCCAAAACCCTTGTAACTAGCAAGTTTGCCCTGAAGATTCTTGAATTACTCCACTCACCATGCATTATTTAAAGAGAAGTGCTACTATTATCGAGGCCATCTGTTTAACCATTGGACGTCTCTCTGTTGGCCCATGTTATGACTGAACATTATATCTACTCATTGTGGACTCAAAAATCTAGGTTAGGTGGTGGCCAGATGATTGTCTGGAGAGCTGCCTTTGGTCTACATGTTAGACAACCTCTGAACCAAAACTACTGAATATATATAAATTTTCTCTTTTTTCCTTAGTTTATTATTTTTTTCACTTTATATCCTGGTCATGGTCTCCTATCCTTCCTCTCCTCAAGTCTCACCCTCACAAGTCCTTCCTCCACAATACACCCTGCCCTTCTTCTCAGAGAAGGGGAAGCCCAGCTTGGGTACCTGCCCACCCTGAGACATCAAGGTGCAGGAGGACTAGATGTATCCTCTCCCAGTGAGGCCAGACAAGGCAGCCCAGCTAGGGGAAGGGATTCAAAGTCTGGCAACAGAGTCAGAGACGGCCCCTGCTCCAATTGTTAGGGGACCCACATGAGGACCCAGCTGCACATCTTCTGTGTTTTCAATGTTAGTCTTTGCGAACATAACATCTGTGGAATGTTACACAGTCAGTTAAGCATACAGACAAGCTCAGATTGTGTCTCATTGTAAAAGGTACTATCCAAGACACCTGTCCTTTACTGTTGCATTGACTAAAGGCAAAAAGTGGTTTTGAGTGTTCTGGAGAAACTGAATGATGATTTATCATTTCCATCTTCTAGGTTTAAACATATTTAAAGCTCTTTCTTGAGGACAATGTAATTGATTCCCAACTAGGATGAATATGTAGCCAAGATTTTCTATATTCTGGCATAGAAAAGACCATAAATGCTGTCTACTTTCCAATATAAGATTCTGCTCCTTTGGTCACCCAGAGGTATTTGCATAGCCTTTACTTAGCTGCTTTTTGCAGGGGAGACTTTGTTACATTTCTTTACCTTATTTTTTTTTGTTAACAAAATGCTTAAAATCTTTTATGCTAAGACAATTTTGTTTTTTGTTTACCTGATAATTCTGATTGAGTCAATCAGAATAAAATATGTAACAGGAGTTTTTAAAGACATAACCCTTAGTTCCACCTCATTACAAACAAATAAATCAAATGACTAAATTTTTTTGTAATTTGGATGTGATTAATTTACTCATTTATATCAAAAAGGTGCTGGGGAGATCTGCTTGATTGCCCAGCTGATAAACTGTATTGCATCAGTCTTCCTATTTTAGACCAAACAGTAAACACTTTTAGGGTTCTAAAAAAAGAGACTTATAGGAGGCTGTAGAAGAAAAACCTAAGACTTGGACTCGCAACCATGGTCCCTCAATTGCTGAGAGGTGGCTAATAAAATCAAGCCTATAGGAGACTTCAAAGGATGGATTAAGCTTTAAGCAGCAATAGGTAAACATTTGCTATATTCATAAATGTTGAATAAAGTACAGTGAGTCCATTGCAGTCTTTATGAATTGGCAAAGACAAGTATCCTTTCAGAATTGTGGTAACTAGAATTAATATAACTAGTTGTTACATTCATGGGAAAATCCACATGTGTATGGTACCACTCCAATAGCATTTTTAAGAAAAGGAACAGTTGTAAGATAAGATCAAGCTTCTTAATCAGACATTATATAAAAATCCTAGAGCTCTCTGCTTCAAACTCCATCAATCTGTGGCCTGGAAAACACAAAATAACTACACTAAACTCTGAGCTCCTCCGAGACATTCAGCAAACTAGGTACTAAGTACATATGCTATTCCTTGCTGTGGTGAGGATTACTGTCTGTTTCATCTTCTGAAACGGTCTCATGGCTGTTGAAAGTCATCAGGAAGGGTCATGTAATGCATGGAAATATTTTTGGCTATGCCAAGATACTGGCTGGTGTCTTTCTCTTGCAGCAAGCAAGGATCACAGAAGTAAGGTTAAATGAGAAGGGCTTGAAATGGAAGTCCTAAATAGGTCCTAGAATCCCCCCATCTATCTCTCTCTATTTCCAATCCATAAACCTGAGTGGTGAAAACAGTTATATCTGAACTGGCCAAGTTTAGAAGTTTCTGGAAGAACTCCTCCAACCCTAATCCCAAATATCAAATAACTATTCCATAATCGACAACTGACAGATTAAGAAATCAGTTTCTTAAGAAATCAGGCCTGCTAAGAAATGTGTACTATATAAAAAGGATTGCCATTACATGAAGGTTACCATTGTGATAGGTACAGAAAAAGAGGCCCCTTCTCTCCTTTGCCCCTACCCACACAGAGAACCCAAATGGAACCTCTAGTTTTAACATGTTAGCCAGTTAGAAAACTATGCAGAAGTCCTTCGTGGATTACAAAAGCCATGTGTGTCCATTTGTGTCTTTCCTCTAATTTATTATCCCAGGAAAAGATTATTAAAGAAAAAAGTCAGGAAAACAAAAAACATTGTTTACATTGCCCAGGGGACTAGCCAGTTTGAACTTGCCAGGGCCTGGCTGGCAAACAAAAGCCCTGAGTCCAATTCTATGTTAGTCTTTCCTCTAATGGCCAGTAAAAGTGTTGCTGAGACTCCATTGGGACCAGCTGCCTAGTCCTTCCCAAAGCCTACAACCATGAGGAGCCCACAGTGCTGGCTCAGAGAGAAAGAGAAAGAGAGAGAGAGGGAGAGAGGGAGGGAGGGAGGGAGAGAGAGAGAGAGAGAGAGAGAGAGAGAGAGAGAGAGAATATGAGAGAGAGAGAATATGAGAGAGAGAGAGAATATGAGAGAGAGAGAATATGAGAGAGAGAGAATATGAGAGAGAGAATATGAGAGAGAGAATATGAGAGAGAGAGAGAGAGAGGATATGAGAGAGAGAGAGAGAGAGAGAGAGAGAGAGAGAGAGAGGAGAGAATATGAGAGAGATCGCAGATCCTACCCAGAGAGACCACAAATGAACCCTCAGTAAGTTACTACCTCCAGCTGCCCTGAGAATAAACCTTCCTTGTGTGAGGAAGCAGCGACAATGATCCTGTGCCAAGCATCAGGAAAACATTTGGGGTCTTAGAAGACTCCATGAACAGTTGGCTTCTCCAGCAGCGAGGCAGCCAAGCTAGTGTGACCGAGGGCCATCGTCATGGTCCTGATCTCCCAGTGAAGAAGTTGAAAATATAGATGAAGACTTTGATTTTCATATGCCCATTCTTAAGTATTGTGTAATTACCTATGTGATTATAACGCTTTATTTTAATGCCATGCCTTCTTGGGTTGGGAATTAAGACTAAGCATATATCAGGTTGTTAATTGAACTCTTGTGGTGTGTAACTTTCTTTCATAAAAGCTTACATGTCAAAGGAGATATGATAAGCATCCCACCTCCCAAAGGATGTAAAGAAGATAAGAACAGTCCAAAATTTTGTGCCCCCTATCTAAGACAATACAGCTTCACATTTTATGTGAATCAAGTCAAATGTTATCCATACAGTACTACATCAAAGCCTGTAAAAGTGTGGTCAAAATCAAGATCAAATCAACCCTATACCTACTTGGCCAATAAAGATGGCTAGCTGATGTGCAAATATCAAAGTAGTTTTGGTATCTGTGGTTTCACTGCCATGTAGCCTGTCTCAGCCCAACAGTTTCTTCTGTAGGAAACAGAAATGGCTGCTCCAGGCTTTCTGGGGCAACTGGGCAAGCCCCCTTCCCCCGCTAGTATTGTGATCAGTTCTGAGTTTCTAAGCTTCTGTATACGGTCAATAGCAACAATGTTTTATATATATATATAAAACATTTTAAAGTATATATACATATACTTTAAGACCTTGGAAAAGATCCTCAGGAAAAACAAATAGGTAGTCAAGATCTCTTCTGTAGCAGGTGCTATACATTACTTTATTTAATACACCATTTCACCTTACCCTCAATTCTGACAACAAACATGTCATTGCCTTTCACAAAATTATATTGAGACCTATAGAGCTTATGCTGCTTTTCTGGGGTTATAAACCAACACCAATATTTTCTGGGCTCCATGAGGTCCTGGGGCTTAATAGCAGGTAGATCAGAGTCTGAATCCTGACTCCACTAATTACTTCAAACTCTGAGTCTCAGTTTTCCCAGCAATAAAAGATATATGTTTTGACTTCAAACCTTGCTTATATGCAATTTAATTTACAAGAGAAATAGATGATAAAAGAGCAGCTGAGCTGCCCTACATATAAAACTGTAGGCATTTACTAAAGTGATGAATAAGATGCAGTTTCCCAGTACCATACATCAAAGGGGGTTCTTGCTCAAATGTTTGAGATGATGAACAACCTAAGTACCCTCAGCTGATTATTAAACAATATGTATGCAATATTAAAGTCCCAATATTACAATTACCTTGTCAATTTAACAATAAAACAATGTTTAAAACATTTCAAGAAACTTGATCTGTGATTTTGTTTTAACTAGAACTCTTCAAAGCCTCTCAACTAAGACAATAAAAAGAAAGGTGATAGGACTGGACATAGACAGGATCTTTGAATATTGGTTGAGAACACGGGAAAACTTAATACAAATTAAGTGCATGGCAAATGAAGTCTTCCTCATGAGTATGCTATAACTCCAGGAAACATACGGGAATCTAGAAGAATGTACAGGGCCACTCATATTGGAGATACTTCAAGAAAAGGGTGACATGTTGGAGAAGTATGCAGACTTCATATGGGGAGAAGAAAGACATCAGAGGCTACATGAAAGTCTGTGAACACAGGCAGTTCTAACGCCAGCCCATTCTGATTTGTGCAGACAAGCCCACAGGCTATGGCTCCAGCATTCGGAGGGCACCTCAGACAGGCATCGTGGATGAATGCTGCTTCCGGAGCTGTGATCTGAGGCGGCTGGAGATGTACTGCGCCCCACTGAAGCCTACAAAGTCAGCCCGCTCTATCCGTGCCCAGCGCCACACCGACATGCCCAAGACTCAGAAGGTAAGCTCGTGTGGGTGAAATGCAGTCATTTTTGATTGCCCTGTTATATGTGGTACAGGGGGAGGAGCACAAAAGAAAATTCTGTCCTATGTCTTCTAGGTGACACGTCAAAAAGTTCCAATCCTACCAGTAGGGTGGCTTAAGGGGCCACCCTTCCAATCACTCTCTACTCTGAATTATCTTTTCCACACCCCTGGATAATCTGATACTTGGAAGGTGGTGGAAAGCCAGGTGAACCTGTGAAAACTCAATTTGCCCAATGAGGTCAATTGGCCAAGTAGGATTCCAAGTTTTAACTATCAATAACATTGTGATGATGACAGAATATACTGCTACAAGTTGCATGCACCAAATAACTGTTAGACAAAGATTAAAATTTCTCACAATTGTATCTAATAACAAAAGTCGAAAGTCCTGGAATTCTACAATGGTCCAAATACAGACTCCTTACTGGGACCTATTTGAAATTCACAGCAGCAATTATAAATTGAAGAAAAATACATTAAATAATTAATATTACATTAATTTAAAAATACATTCAATAGTTCAAAATACATTAAATAAATTTTAAAAATAGACATACTCTGTTCAGCTGTGGGAATGCTTAGATGTTTCTAATGATCAAAACATAAGACATGCTTTGTCCGAGCATTTATTATAAAGCAACCTCAGGAAGACCATCTGTGCCATCAGAAACAGATAAAATATCTGACACATGTTGGCCGCTTGATATACTTGTGAATGAGTGAATGAATGAATGAAGGAAGGAATGAATATATTAGAGTGTAAGTAGAATCATAGTCCTTACATAGAGATAAAGAGAAGATAAAAGAGAACGAAAGAGAGAAAGGAAGGAAGATAAAGAAGTAAAAGCCCTCTCTTAAGTGTTTTGAGGCATTTTTGGGGAAAAAAGTGAACAAGTAGATTCTATCATTGAAACAAAACTAATGTTGTGCAGAAAGCACAAGAAAAGAGACCAAATAGTTCACACTGACACTTTTGCTGCTTCCTGACCCTAAGCCAAAGCCAAGGCTAAAAAAGGACCATGGTGTCTTAGTGGAGACATCATCCAGTGAGTCACCTCAGAGGATTTGATTTAGACAGAACACAGTGAGCACAAGAGTCAGAGGGGATGTCAGTGTGTGAATGAAGGGAAAAGGAGCATTCCTTCATTCTAGCTGAAGAGGAAGTGGGTATGAGAGACGAGGCCCAACGGTGCCTGAGTTGTAGACCCCTCTCCAGCAACAAAGTTGGCTCCTGTTTCCTATGGAGCCCAAGCATTCTGGGCAGATTCAAGAACCGTCTTCAGCACAGGAGCCATCCGTTCTCAATGCAATTATTTTTGTGATGTTTGCAGTCCCAGGCCCTATCGACAAACAAGAAAACGAAGCTACAAAGGAGAAGGAAAGGTGAGCCAAAGACACACCCAGGAGGGGAACAGAAGGAGGGAACGGAGGCAACACAGAAAAATCAGAGGTCACAGAGAAAGGAGACTGAGCTAGGAACTGTGAAGAAGCAGGCCGAAAGAGAAACATTCGGGGACAGGGATGAAGGAGGAGAGGACAGAAACCCAGAGAAGCCGTAGAGGAGATGGAGCGAGGCAGTCTTCACTAGGCTGGATAATGTCAGTGATGGAAGTAAGAAGGACCTTCTCTGGCATATGGCACTTACACATGGGAAGAATGGCACGGGGAAGTGTAACACCTCAGAAAGTGCCAAGTGACAAGGATAGCATGTTAACAACAAGAAATTTTTTTAAAAAAATGCCAACAAGACACGCCATCCCCTTCTTAAAAATATAAATCAGAGTAAAAAAAAAACTATACAAAATAAAGATCACATCTTCAGCCTGCCTTCCAAATTTTATACAAATCTGTTATAGAAGAATTGCCCATGTCAATATATGTTCAGAGTTAAATATTAATCCTAAAGTCGCAGCAATGCTGTATTGAGTCATTGAAGTTCCCAGATTTCGGTCCTGAATTTCACTGGTGGTTCTGCTTCTTGGTCAAGTCCAGGGTATAGGCCAAAGAGCATCGAGTATTTACAAAAAGGCCTGTGAGGTAACTTTTTAAAAGATCACTGAACTTTTATTTTGTACTGTGATATCAGACACAAAGACATATTAGTTCACCACGGCTGCCATAACAAAGCACTACAGACTAAATGGCTTAACCCATAGACACATTTTTCCTCTCATAGTTCTAGAGAGTGGAAGTCCTCACTCAAGGTATCAGTCCCTTGGAGGCCTCCTGTCTGTGTCCCGAAAATCTTCCCTCTGTAGGTATCTCAGTGTCTAAAGAATGTGTTTTCATTAGGCTATCAGTGAGACTGGATTGGGATTCACTCTAATGGCCTCATTTTAATTTGATGACCTCAATACTCTGTATCTAAGTGTACTCTATTTTTGAGGTACTAGGAATTGGAACTTTAAATATGAATTTGGGGGTAGATGGTAGCAGTTAGCTCATAATGAATGTACCTGATATCAAATTACATCATTTAGCATATCTATCGCTCTCTCTCTCTCTCTCTCTCTCTCTCTCTCTCTCTCTCTCTCTCACACACACACACACACACACACACACACACACACACACAGAACTAGATGCTGAGATCTCAAATTCTATGATACTCTTCATTGGAAAACCCTTAGGACCATGCTGTTAATGATGCTAAAGACCTTGGAAGCCATTTGATTCGCCTCTTTGTTTTAAAGAACGAGATACTGAGATCTGGACATAGGTGAGATCAATACTTGGTCTCTAAGCCTCTTCAAATAACAACTATCATGTGAACCAAGTAAAAAGAGAAAAGGGACACAGAGTTGGGCATGGGGAATCTCCCCTTGGTTTATTATTTGTCTGCCAAAAGAAAGCTTGCAAGTGCTATCAAGAGTGCTGAATTTTCTGGAGAAGGAGACAATCAACTCACAGAAGAAGGTAGGTCTCGATGACCTTTGCCCTTACTTCCCTTGATTTAATCACTGCAAACAAGATGGAGCAGAAAACAAAACCTCAAGATTATCCAAATTGTGAATTCCCACACCAAGAGAGTATAGAAGACAGAAGAACACTGCCACGCTAATGATCACCCTTTAGGGCGGTAAAATGACTGAAAGCCACAAGTGAGATATTTCATCTATTTCACCTACTTCAAAGAAAATCCGGTGTAAAGAAGCATCTTTTCTGCCTAGTCCTTCCTCTTCCTGATAATTTTTTTTTGGATCATTTCTCCATGGCTCACTGAAAATCTTGGATGTCCTCAATATTACAAAGGTGTTCAGAGCTCAAGATAGGACCAAAGATCAATTAGAAGCCAGTGTCAAAACCCCCAGTGAAAGCAAGCCTATCTCTATTATCATTGCAAAAAGTAGTCCTAGATTATCAGGAAAAACTGTGTTCTATTAAGTCAGCACACTTTAGGGCCATACTCAGGCAAAAGCTGTCACTAATGCCACTGTAGCCTGAGCTTCAGACTCAGACAGCTCTCGGAAGCAACCGCAGTTCAACAATAGAATTCAGAATCTATGTCGTATGGAAAGAATTGGGTGGTTGTAGCTAATTATAAACCTCAATCAAAGAAAACTGAAAGTGATAGGACTTTCTAGTTAAAATAAGTTCTCACAGCCCTAGACTGTATTGACATGCATTTCTTTGTGAAGTAGGTTTAAACCATTTTAAAGCAATCCTCAGCATGCCTACATGTCATTGCCACGTAATATGGATAATGAAAACATAATCAATGCATTGCTCTTTCATGAAGCATGTTTCTTTACCTAGGATAGTGAGGCAGTCAAAAACAAAGTCAGAAAAGGCAAAGGAGCTTGGCTGACACCTCACATATTTGAAATTAAGCTCAAAATTGAAATTGTTCAAAGACTTAATGCACAGTCTTTGGTTAGCTTAATACTCCACAGTGATTTGCCTGGTCAGTGTTTTCTTGAACTCAACAGAGTAGATCCTTCTTTATAATCACATTTAAGCTTCAAGGGTTTCTGTGGAGGCAAATTGATAATCTTGTTTAAAACTAATTAAAATACGTAAGGAATCACAATTCTGAGACAAAATTTATTGAGGACCTATGACTGTAAACATCTAAATAAGGCATGAAGCTTACAAGTTGGAGATGGATAGTATCATCGAGAGGACAGACTGTCAGTCTGCCTTGAAGCACGTCAGAGACTCTTTGTCTAGCTGTATACTGATGGACAAACTGTCTCTCTCACCTACATCTCAATACCCTAATCTCTCAAACATACCAACAACTGAATCTATCCCATACTGTTGTGAGGACATGCCAAAAGTACATATAGCCATATCTGTATTTGTTCATATATATATAGAGATATGTATATTACACATGCATATATTACATATTACTCAAAATAATGCTTACACATAATATAAGCCCTATTGAACTACTAGCTAGTATTACTGTACTTCTGGAAATTGTAGCCACAGAAAAGTCTCCTGAAGTAAAGTATCAGATATGGCCAATAATGTCAAGCCAGTGTTTGACAACATATGTACATATTCTCCAACATATGACAGAAGAGAGCTTAGTAGTCTAAGATTCCTCCCAACCCGGAGAATACCTGATTCTGTGAGTAAATCCAATTAAAATGGTTAGTCCAGCTCTTCCACATGAAGAACTGTCGATATTTATTTTAAGGTCATGTCTTAGTCAGGGTTTGTATTCCTGCACAAAACATCATGATCAAGAAGCAAGTTGAGGAGGGAAGTGTTTATTTAGCTTACACTTCCACATTGCTGTTCATCACTAAAGGAAGTCAGAACAGGAACTTACACAGGGCAGGAGCATAGAGGCAAGAACTGATGCAGAGGCCGTCGAGGGTGCTGTTTATTGGCTTGTTTTCCCTGCTTTGCTCAGTTTGCTTTCTTGTAGAACCCAGGAACACCAGCCCAGATATGGCACCACCCACAGTGGGCTGATCACTAATTGAGAAAATGCCTTACAGCTGGATCTCATGGAGGCAGTTTCTCAACTGACGCTCCTATCTCTGTGATAACTCCAGCTTGTGTCAAGTTGACAAAAACCAGCCAGTACAGGTCATACAATGAACTTTTCAGAAAGCCATCATTTTCTTCTCAACCAGTTAAAATCAAATATAATATATGATTCATTCCATGGTGCCTGGGGACATTTTAATTGTAGCCTGAATTCTAGATCTCACTAGTTTTCAGTAAAACTGTCAAAATATATAGAAAACTGGGATATTTCCAGGCTCATAGAGCTTCTGGGACACTTTGGTTCCTAGGATAGCTGATCTAGTGCTTTTCATTGGCATTTGATTTATCAACTGTCTCTTTAAAACAAGCCAACCCCAAACAGCTTTGAATGTGTACTACTAAGATATAAGGGGTGGTAAAGGAGACACAGAGAATTTCCCAAAGACTAACTCCTTTTCTGCTGGCATCTCCTGACTACCTGCCTCTAAACAATGGTGGAAAGGAAACAAGGCTTTCTAAGGAAACACAGCCAACAAATGCTTAAATCCATAAGAGTCTATAAAGGGGTGAGGTACTCTATTTATTTGCTTGGTAGAAGAGAATCAAACTTTTTTGAAATATGTAATAGAGGACTCAAAGTTGACTCTTCATCCAGAATAAAGTTGGCAGCCTGAAATTAACATGAGGGCTTTTGAAAGCAATGGGAAGATTAACAGATTTTGATCAAACACAATCTCTTTGTGCAACTTTTAGAATGTCCATTATAGACTTTACTGTAAATGTTACCTCAGGACTGAAAGGTCAGTTATTGGTTCCCTTAACCCAAGCAAGAAAAGATCTCCTGACACTAGTTAGAGAAGATTCTTCAGGAGCCACTAAACATGCAATAATGAAGTCAACTTCTCTCCCAGGGGCCTGATTGAAGTCAGAATTCTTCCCTGAAGCTCACATACTTGGGAACCCATCTCTAATGAGATTTCTCAATGCCATTGGGTCTCATCCAGCAACCAAGATATATAATTTAGAAATGTCAACTTAGATTTTACCTTCCAGAAGACAGAACTGGATGTTGTAAAAACTAGAGAACAGATACAAGGTAGGGTAGAACAGATCTGTGAACCCTTGCATGATGCATAGCACCTCCAAGAAAGTTCTCAAAACCCCAGGCACTCATAAACAGTGCTGTAGTCTACTGGGTGAGTCACAAGAACTCATCCCACCTCTAGTAACCATTATGGGTATAGTTTTAGAAAGCTTTGGTCAGGAGATTTTTAAAAATGGAGGGTTGCTTGTTAGAAATAAGAATACTAATATGTACTTGCAGCTATTTTAAATCTAAATACCTTTGATAGGAATTTGTAATCTGTAATTCACCACAGTAAACAATCTGTGAGAAGAGAAAGAGTGTGTGTGTTCAAATGAACACAAATGTCCAC